GTTATTAAAACCAAAACAACTTTTATGAAGTTTAAATGCGCAGGCCTGTGTAATTAAAAATACGACGAGATATGATTTGTCCGAATTAACTAGCGCAGTATTTTTTTGAAACATGAAGGGCACCCGAGTTATCTCGGGCATATCACAGAAGGGGTCAAAAATATACCCATCTACCTGACCGAGGTTATACTTATCACAACAAAATACCATACACACTGTATGTATTTGTCATGATATCTAAGCTATCATGCGTGTACTACTGACAATTCCACAAACTCACGGAGATTTCAACTTCATCTAATTAAAATATCCTTATAATATGCTCTCGAGAAACACCAGGTAAAAATGTGTCAGAGCCACAGGTCAAACGGTGTTCTCAAAACCTCAAGTTAAACTATGTTTTCTCTCTCTCTTGCTATAGTCTGAGTCTTTGTCTCCATTTTTTCTATTAAAAAGCCACAAGCCTGCCAAATGTTGGAATTGAAAACTCTCTCGTCATTAATGAAAATCACAGGTGCACAGTATTTACCAATAATACCTCTTCTAGGTTGTTTTATCACAGTCAACCGTTTCATTTATCAATTAATGTTCTTTGTTTACAAGCTTTCTCTCATTATTGTTTATTAACATTGTCTGTGTATAATTGCTTCAATTGTTTTAATTTTTGAAAAACTCTGTAATATTTCTATATATATATGTACGCATGCCATAATTACATTTTGTCTGGGATTGGTTGATTGATATTCAAAGCTAGGATGGTCAGATAGTTGGACACTGCGACCCATTGTTTTCTGAGCTATCAGGTAGTAAAGTCCAGCAAAATAACGCGGCCACTGCTCAATTACTTACAGTGAGAATAGTCACCGATCTGTACAATAATGTGATTGAAAAATTATAGGACGAAAGGGTGTTAAGACCCATTATTTCACAAAGTGAATTTTCTGAAGTGAAACGTTGTCCAATGTTTCGAGAAATTCACTCCAAAATTCTAGCTGAGTTATGAGACCCTGTAGAGTGTTCCACGCAAAGCTGTCTGGATTTTATGTCGATATTTGCTGGAGATATACCAGAATTGGTTGACAACGATGTCCAGGTTTTTCTGAGTGTGTTCGAGTACAATAGCGACATCACAAATTTTAATCTTGGTAAATTCACTTTTAGTCTAGAAGTTTCTGCACGTCCAAGTTTTACCATTGACTATATATTTTATGAAGTCTGAAATATAAATGAATTGAGTTTGAAAGCCCCTAGATGACACCACTATCGGAACATTGTTTATCTTCGATTGGTGTTCAGGCGTCACCGAAGTTGACATTGGAGTAGCTGGAGGCAAGCTGTCAAGGGAAGCCATCTCGAGTCATCATGATCTACTCGACATTTAAGAGGAAGCAACAGGTATCTATGTGGCAATCTTTGAGAAGCCAGAGGAGGATTTGTTGGACCTGAAAGCTGCCGCCAGCTCTGACTGGTGGTTAAGACCTAAATTTCAGCCTCCCAACCAGTATGGATCATTGATCTCCTCTGCAGACTTCTGGTCAAGTCATTTCACTAAGGACTCGTCTGTGACATATGAAAGAAGCTTATTGACGTGCTCCAAGCACTTTCGCATGCCTTGCATCTGCTATATTTCATAAATTAGAGGACCAATCCGTCAGAGAACCGGGAACGGACAGTCCATTTGGACCCCAGTTTCTTCTTTGCTGCTGGCACGTACCACACCATACCCGTCACGTTGTTTAAACGTCCATCTTTTCATCATACAGTCGTAAAATATTTTCTATTACTATGGAGCCTTCCAAACTTGCTGTCTGGTGATTCAGCATTATTGATCTCAGTTACTCCACATAATCTTTGTGAAATTGGGGGACTTTTCCTGGTGGTGGAGGACCATGCATCACGTCCATGGGGAGTGAAACCTCCCATCTTAACATAAACAGTTCAGCAAATAGCCTGTTTATCACTGTTCTGCTGCTCTATATGTCATCATTAAATATGGCAAGTGTTAGTCCCAGTCGGTTTCATTAGGTCCAACAAACTTTGCAAGCATTCACTTGGTAGTTTATACTTCCCACTCTGCCAAACCATCAAACTAGGGGTGATAAGATGAAGC